GTAAACCAATCAAAACCTTGATGATGATCCTTGAATTTACATTAAATTATTTACTGGGATTATCAAAGTTTTGATTGGTGTACTTAGTTATAGTTATCAATCCAGTTAATGTGAAAAAGTTATTAACTACAAAGTTTCACACCACCTTTCTTCTTTATTTCTAGCACTTCCTTTAATTTAACTAATGTTTTCAGCCATTTTAAATGGCCTTCTTCAAGTTAAACAAAATAGAATGTCAGTTATAAAATAAATCAGAATATAAATTTAAAACATTGTGATCTTGTGACATCATGGCACTAAGTTTGTTAATTTTAACATATAATTTTATTTCTGTATTTATTTATTCTATTCAAAACCATGATGTCACAAGATCTCAATGTTTTAAATTTATGTTCTGATTTATTTTATAATTGACGTTCTATTTTGTTTAACTTGAAGAAGGCCATTTAAAATGGCTGAAAACATTAGTTAAATTAAAGAAAGTGCTAGAAATAAAGAAGAAAGATGGTGTGAAACTTTGTATAATAAGTTCTAGTTTACTGCGCATAGAGTTAATAACTACCTTAAATTTAGGGATTGCAATTGCTGGATCCCTCATCCAGCAATCCAGCTGGATCTAGCACATTTTTCGGCCTGTTGGATTCAGCACCAGGTGCTGGATCCAGCGATGCGGATCTGCAAATACTCAATTAACTTTCTAAATAATGGCGCAAAAGTCTACATTGTCAGCCTTGCCGCTTTGCTACCTGCGCTATCGCTCGGCGGCGAGAGCAACGTTGCTGTTCAGTGCGGCACGTGCTACACCCCTTCTCTACACCACACCGCCCACCCTTTTACCTCTACTGATCTAATTGCCAGTTGACTTTCCGTTCTCACTAAACAAAGTGTCTTCGTGCTAAACAAAATACGTAACTCCTATCCTAGTCCTGGTGTATAATTCTAATTTATGGTCGGTTGTGACGTCAATGAATCACGTGACGGAACGATTGCAGTTTAAACTGGCCGTAGAATCTCTCTTCAGAAGAGTCAAGTATGATAACTGCTGACACAACCCTGAAATTTGTCTTAGACAAACTAAAAAGCCAGGACACAATCTTGAGTGCCAACCTTTCCAAGGCACTCCACAAAAGAATCAGAGAACGGCATCTTACTGAGGTCACAGGGATGCTGATTTACATACAGAACCCGAAGAAGTATGACCAAAAAGTTAGAAAGCTTTATCTTTCACATGCAGAAAAAATGTAATGTGCCAGGGGATGAAAAATATGCTGAATCGTGTAAATACATATGTAGTGGAACCAGTAGCAATGGCAGAGGATATTACGGAGGTGGAAAACGATGATTCATATAACCCGGATTCCCTGAATTTCACATTGGAACAAGAATTAGAGATCCAACTAAAGCGTGAGAAAGAAAACTTCATTAAATGGAAAGAAACTAGTACGGAGAAGTGTTATAAGTTATTAAAAAAGGAAATGGCTGTTTATGAAAGTGAGGGAGTCAGACGTGAAAACTTATCTTTGATTTATCATTATTTGATGACACTGAAACCAACTAGCATAAAGGCAGAAAAGGCCTTCTCTACAGCGAAATATATATGCAGTTCATTAAATAGTAGGTTGGGAGACAACACCATCAATACCATTTGTTTCTTGAGATCCTACTTCCAGAAAAGTCGAAAAAATAACAGAAGCGATTGATTTAATTTTATTTAATCCTTTAAAATACTTCATTCAAGGCAAGACTAATATTTTATAACTTCTACTCTAATTCAATTAAGTAACAGTTTTTAACTTTTATTCTATAAGTATTTAGTGAGCCCACTAAATACTTATAGAATAAAAGCTAGACAATTTTATTGTTAAAATTAGTGAGAAACTGAGACTACCTAGTTAGTTAAATAGTTATTAATGAGTATCAGTATCTTAGATATATGATGATATGAATGTATGTGATTCATGATTGTGATAATAACAACTAACTACTAATTACTTACTCACTACTTTACTAACACTAATAATTATATTATTTATAAATAACTACAGACTGATATGTAGAGCCTACATAAGAAAACTGGTAAGACTGATAGCCACTTAGCCACTGATTATCCGTTCTTACATTATTAATATAAATTAATTAGTAAAATTACCTTTGCTATTATTTTAACTTAAAGATTACATTATAATTATAATCTAACTAAACATTTAAAGTTAATTATTTCTATCTCAAGTGTTAAACCGAACCAAAGTTAAGTTTACTACCTAAATGTGTAAGAAGTTTTTCTGATTTATAGTTACNAAATATTTACGTTTTTGATATTAAATTAACTTCTGAAGTATAATTTTTTATTGTGTTTATTTTTTTCAATATATTTATTTTGTTTGTACAAAATAAAATAATTTTTAACGATACAATAGTCTTTGTTAGGCTTAACATTGACGAAAATTCAACGCGAAGCGACACACAACGGAGAAAAATTTCAACACAGGATAAATTAATATATTTTTTCATACATAACTGGTTATCCGAAAAATAAGTTATCCAAACAACCCCAGTCCCCAATTGATTCGGATAAACGACGCTCTACTGTATTGTCAAATTACTTGCCATGCTATAAGGGTGCTTTTCTCCCTTCTCATTTTTAAGAAAAATTTGTAATACAGTAATCATAACTAGAAACATTAAAACAGTGCTTACATCAAAACCTAATAAATAAAAACATTACATAAACTATTACACTGCAAACATCAAATGAAGTATTTATATTTTTAAGTGAAATATTTGTAAAAAACTTAAAAAGGATTGTCATATATGAAAACTATCATTACAGGACTCTCTTAACAGCTAGATTTAACATAGAACAAACAAGAAAAAACTATTAGTCATACTAAACTTTCAAGAAAATATTGATTTACTATAAAGTAATCTGTATAATAAAATATTTTATGATTCATAAATAGTTCAGTTTCTATGTTTAACTTATCAAAATTTATATTTTAACATATCTATTGAATTCAGAAATTAAAAATCTAGATATAAAAAAAATGACCTTGAACAAAATGTTCACAGTTGTTGACATTGAAATAAGCAGAATCTAGAGTAGTCCAACATTTTCTATTAAATTCTCATCAATATAGGAAATTTACATATGAAAATACATTTATGTTCAGCTATTAGTATAATTTTATAGCATTATTGTTAATCTGAATCAAATATATACAATAGACTCAAAATTTTATGTTGTTTACATTATTCAATTTGCAATCCAAAATTAATAATTAACCGGTAGTTTGTAGTTTTGGGTAAACACATGCTTAGATATAATTAAGATATTAAAAGTTGTACTAAATTATTTTTAAGGCATTTTAGTAAATCCAATTCTAAAACTTGTTTTTAGATTTAAAAATTTATGAACAAGCAATTATTTATTTCGACATCATCACAATGCCAAGCTGCAATTTTTAATCATATTTTTAATTTATTTTATTTAAAATATATACTATCCACCTCAAATTAGTAGTGACTTGCCCCCGTACATCATACTTTTCCTTTAACAATAGAGTCATGCTGGTCACCTAAAACCTTTCAGGGAAAAATTTTTGAATCGAAATAACACAACTTCCGGTTTGCATCCAAAGTTCGAATATATTAATTGGAACCTCTACCCCAAAAATTTCCACATCCAATCTTGGCTTCCATTTATCTTAACTCCATTCTCAAGATTAAGGAAAGACAGAAGGAATTTACTTGTTTACAATTTTTTGAATTGGAGCCCAAAAATATACAAAAGGATGAAGATAAATTGTAAAGCTTATATTCTATTGCAAAAATAATTTTTGCTTACTTCTTGAAAACATAAGCCCGTACATATATTTTCTTTATGGTCAACTAAAATTTATTTTCACCAATTAAAATACACCAAAACTATAAAACTATTAAATGCTATAAAATTAATCTACAACATGATAGGATAAAACGAGAGCAAACAAATTAAAACACAACCATACTATTTTATAGAAACAATTGGTATTTAATAAATTTTTGTATCTTTGAAATACATAATGTATAAACAAACATATATAAGTATTTTATTCCGTATCATCATTTACTTTACATTTGGAAACAATTTATTGATCTCTGAGAGGCTCTTGGAAATATTGACTATTAGCAGATAAAAATATATGACGACAAAAAATTTAAAAATTATATTATTTGAAGCTTAACTGCATAGTTTTAGTGTTGAATTCATGACAAATTTTATTATTTATAAAATAACTAAATAATAAGCGAATATTATGATGATAATAGTGATAATATCGACTCAATTGCACTCTTTAAATGCTATTAAGATTAATTATTATTGAACTTGATTTTATAAGCGTTATTTAATAGACTTTACCCATTTACTTATGGCACGAGTATAGAAAGATGTAAATAACTGAAATATTATAATTTGTACCTTTAGCAAGAGCAACAGTCGACTCTTTGGCATCAATTGTATACAGTATACCTTCATATCTTATTTCCGACTTGGAAATTAAACTTATTTTACTTCCTAGGTACGGCATACCACTCATATTGAATACGGATCGTTATTATCCGACTCACAGTATCGCCTGCCTATTTATCACATTTGCTGATTTACATATCGCGATGCATGGCGGGATTAATATAAAGAAAGAATCCACTCAATCCTAATATGCTAAAAGATATACATTGTTATAACAAATATTATTTGTCAAATAAATAATCTCATTCTGTAAGCGCCCAATCACATTCATTATATTTTCCAAGTCATAAAAACACATTACCTACTATTATAATTAACGATAAATAGTTTATTATAGTGTTTTTGGTATCGTTTAATATTTAATTTTACACGGTAATGAAAAGTATTAGAGATTTATCGAGTTATCATAATGTTTTTGTTTATATTTTACGAAACTAACTGGTTATCGTTACTTAGAATCGTTGACGCATGCGCTTAATTATTAGTTCGTTTGATGTGTGATGACAAAATGGCGTCGGCGAAATCTTTGGAGGACATGTTATCTTCAGATGTCGACGAATCGGCAGTTAGTGCGTTAGTTGGGTCTCTAGAATCACAGTTGTTGTCATCAAATATCCATATACCTAGTCAAGATGTTCAAACGTCGTTAAATCACATAAATTGTGACAGTTTACGCGATGGACAGAAACTCGGTCCTACTTCGACTCATCTGACTCAAGCGTCTTCGATACTAAACAAGACAAATTCGCAAGTGGTTACTAATAATGCAACATCTCCGTCGACTCCTAACACAGTTATGGTGACTTTAGCTGGTGCATTGCCAGCTAGTGGATATATTAGTCAAGTGACCAGCCCAGCACAACAAGCCCTTCTCAATACTTCTGCTGGAAGAAATTCCGATATCAAAATAGTTTATTCGCCTCAACCTACCACCAATACCAGTAGTACGGTGATCCAAGCACAAAGGGGTAAGGTAACAACAGTACCTAATGGAAACGTTGGTAGACCTGCAACCACGGTAGGACCTGTCATTACCATGGCAGGAGCATCCGTTGTTACTACAGCAGGAATGACTGCGATTCAAAATTTAGCAAATATTGCATCTCAGCAAGCACCTTTGATGATTCCCAATGCGTGTACTACACCTCCTAGCACCATTCCTATCAGTGTTAATGCCAAACAGGTGGTGACTAGGCTGACGGTGAGAGAACAGCTCGAACAAAAACAGCAGACGGAAAAATTGAATGTCAAGACACAGCCGCAATTAATGATCAAAGAGGAATCTTCTGGAGTGCATCAGCCCCACGATTCGACTAACGTTATTATTCCGTTGACTCAGGCACCTCCGCCGGTGGTTACAAACGTTATACAGGTTTCGAGTGCAACGCCGACGGTGGTTACGGTGGCAAAGACAACACAGTCGCAGTCTCAGACGCAACCTGGTCAGCCGGTAAATGTGGTGACGCAGGTTGTATCGAATCCAAATATTCTTCCCGGTGTTCAGATTGTTAATGTCAGTCCACGAACTCAAGGCATTGCGGGGCAAAAAACATTAGCACCGAGACTTGTATTTGGAAATCCAGTTCGCATTGCACCCCAGATGTTAACTGCACGTCCGGGGGCACCGGTTCAAACGGCGGGACAGGTAAGTAAATCATGGTACTGATGTAATTAAAACTTTGTCAAAGAGATGTTTTATATAAATTTTAATATAGAAAATTTGAAATAATTCCAGAATAATATATAGCTTAACTTGCAGCTCTACTTTTTGTTATTATTTTGTAATGATGAAACATGATAATTTATAGTATAAACAGATCTACTCTCTATTAAAAGTTATTAAATTTAATATAACATATATGTCTGCAGGTTATACAACCTTTTTGGACTTTGTAAATAGATTATTGAATAGTAATTAATCAGAAAATTTATAATAAATGTTTATTTAGTTTCTTTTTATAATTAATTAAAAGATAAGAATTAAATAAACATTAAATTTAGTATACAGAATTCACAAAAAAAAACTTTAAAATATTAAGAAAAATTTTTTATTTATAAATGAAGAAATTTTGATTTTTTTAACAGTATATTTTTAATAAGTAAATATATAAAATTATTTTTCTAAATAAGTATATAACAATAACATATGTAAAGATATTGCTAATTAATGTATTGCAGATAGGGAAAAAAGTACATTGTTACATTAAACTAAGTGAATATTAAATAGATTAAGTATGTCAAATTACTCTTGTTGATAAATAATCACATATAAAAACAGCACATGCTTTGCTTCATAATAATTGATCATACCATATACTAGAATTTAAGTATTTATTATAAATATAACTATAACTAAGTAAACCAATCAAAACCTTGATGATGATCCTTGAATTTACATTAAATTATTTACTGGGATTATCAAAGTTTTGATTGGTGTACTTAGTTATAGTTATCAATCCAGTTAATGTGAAAAAGTTATTAACTACAAAGTTTCACACCACCTTTCTTCTTTATTTCTAGCACTTCCTTTAATTTAACTAATGTTTTCAGCCATTTTAAATGGCCTTCTTCAAGTTAAACAAAATAGAATGTCAGTTATAAAATAAATCAGAATATAAATTTAAAACATTGTGATCTTGTGACATCATGGCACTAAGTTTGTTAATTTTAACATATAATTTTATTTCTGTATTTATTTATTCTATTCAAAACCATGATGTCACAAGATCTCAATGTTTTAAATTTATGTTCTGATTTATTTTATAATTGACGTTCTATTTTGTTTAACTTGAAGAAGGCCATTTAAAATGGCTGAAAACATTAGTTAAATTAAAGAAAGTGCTAGAAATAAAGAAGAAAGATGGTGTGAAACTTTGTATAATAAGTTCTAGTTTACTGCGCATAGAGTTAATAACTACCTTAAATTTAGGGATTGCAATTGCTGGATCCCTCATCCAGCAATCCAGCTGGATCTAGCACATTTTTCGGCCTGTTGGATTCAGCACCAGGTGCTGGATCCAGCGATGCGGATCTGCAAATACTCAATTAACTTTCTAAATAATGGCGCAAAAGTCTACATTGTCAGCCTTGCCGCTTTGCTACCTGCGCTATCGCTCGGCGGCGAGAGCAACGTTGCTGTTCAGTGCGGCACGTGCTACACCCCTTCTCTACACCACACCGCCCACCCTTTTACCTCTACTGATCTAATTGCCAGTTGACTTTCCATTCTCACTAAACAAAGTGTCTTCGTGCTAAACAAAATACGTAACTCCTATCCTAGTCCTGGTGTATAATTCTAATTTATGGTCGGTTGTGACGTCAATGAATCACGTGACGGAACGATTGCAGTTTAAACTGGCCGTAGAATCTCTCTGCAGAAGAGTCGAGTATGATAACTGCTGACACAACCCTGAAATTTGTCTTAGACAAACTAAAAAGCCAGGACACAATCTTGAGTGCCAACCTTTCCAAGGCACTCCACAAAAGAATCAGAGAACGGCATCTTACTGAGGTCACAGGGAAGCTGATTTACATACAGAACCCGAAGAAGTATGACCAAAAAGTTAGAAAGCTTTATCTTTCACATGCAGAAAAAATGTAATGTGCCAGGAGATGAAAAATATGCTGAATCATGTAAATACATATGTAGTGGAACCAGCAGCAATGGCAGAGGATATTACGGAGGTGGAAAACGATGATCCAGATAACCCGGATTTCCTGAATTTCACATTGGAACAAGAATTAGAGATCCAACTAAAGCGTGAGAAAGAAAACTTCATGAAACGGAAAGAAACTAGTACTGAGAAGGATTATGATAAGTTATTAAAAAAGGAAATGGCTGTTTATGAAAGTGAGGGAGTCAGAGGTGAAAACTTATCTTTGATTTATCATTATTTGATGACACTGAAACCAACTAGC